TGTTGGAAATGTAAACAAAGCCAATCGTCTATTCGTTGAGTACATTGGCTCGAGATCTGCATTTTCAGAATATACACGGGAAGAGAATCGTAGGAAGAATTAGGGAATTAAACATATATACATTGCAATAATTTGATATTTTCAACAGAACTTGTCGAAGTTCCCGTCCTTTGTGACGCCATGACTGACGCAAAATCACAACGACAACGGAATTTCTGACTATTTTCGTTGGTTTCAATGAAAAATACAGCAACAAAATACAGTACACAGATTGTCAGAATGTTTCTGATTACTTACATGTCATATTTATGTATATACGAACCCTGAATCAACAAAAATGCCCCTCGTAAAATCCCGCGCACTGTTGACAGTCAACACGCCATTTTGTAAAATTCGGTCACCGGTAGTGATGTCAAACTTCAACATATTTGTTGTACATATTTGCTAATTTCTCTGAGGTGAAGGTCCTTGAATGAAAGTACACACGATCATTGTTAACTGCTCTTTACTGTTTCATGATGTAGATCTTGCATATCTTTTCTAAAAAAAGATACACAATTAATTTCACTTTGGATATTAATCAATGTTCAATATGATATCATACGTAGATATAGGCCACAACATTATATGAACGTTTGATAATCCCCTGTTTGTTTGAACAATGTTCACATATGAAGTTGATAAGTTTATAGTGTCGTATACGATATTTCTTTAATTTGAACAAGTGTACATGTGACAGGTACATTTACATTTCATCTTGTATGTATTTCTAGGGAGTGTTATAGTCAATATTATAAGTTCATATAAATAGTGTCCATGAATAGCCGTTTCATTTTATTTTATAACTAAAACTGACGATATAACTTAACCAAAATCGATATTATTTTTCGTTAAATAATATGCACACATTTCTTGAAGAATTGGCTTGGTCTTGGATTTTTATTTATGCCGTTTGATATACAGAACAGTGATATCTCAGGATTCGCCAGGAGCGCGTTAGTCGCTATGGTGATTGTGATTTTGGTAATTATTTCAATAATCCTAATAATTCTCATGAATAGAGAAAATCAAAACATTTGTTATGAATTTTGTATTTCAATTTGCGTCCATTGTTAATTAGTATGCAAAAAATGCTGAGTAATTATGTATTCCTACACAGTGATTCGGTCGCTTGCTTCAGGGAATTCAAATCATATTTTCACCCTCTGACATTTGGTCATGTGACCCAAATTAGCCAATCACAACACAGAACACACTTTCTATAGGTTTACAATCCCAAATATAACATTTGTCACATGATTGTTCCTACCCGTGGTGAGACCTGAATCTATTCAAGAGATCCGTATCGGATTTACATACAACTGTCACAACAGCTATATCAACACATCCTGTATATGGCCACTGCTCAACCGTTACTACTCTAAATGAAATCCTCTTAAATTCTCTCAAATGGCAATTGGCTCTATAAACATCTCTGAAAATAGCAGACTGGAAAGTCAAACTTTGGTATGAAAGTATCTCTTTATGACGACATGTTATTTGGTTAAAAAACACTAGGATTTTAGTGAGGATTTTAGGATTTTTAGAGGGTTTTTTGTGAAACACTTTGGAAAATTGTATGGCATTAGAAAATTTATTTTCCTCAGTAGTCATAAATTACTTAATGTTGCAAGTTTGTGTTAAGTTAATTTCACTTGTGCATCTTATGGAACTATTATAGTATACTCATTATTGCAGATATAAACAATCAGTGGAAATCAGTTGTCTTATGTTTTTGAATACTTTTGCCCTCAGTATTTGTACAGAACACATTTCAACAACAATTACATTTATAAAAATGCGTCCTTCTTGACATTTGAAACTTCTGAATGCATAAGTAGGTGAGTAACAGTCGTGTGGCAATATAATCAAAAAAGTCTTCAGTGATACACGATGCCCGATAGGATGGCCACGGCTCCAATTTCGGTTCAAAACTTCAAAATAATTATTTCTTAAATCTTACTTTTTTATTGAAATTAAGGTATGTTTATGTTTGCATAACATACATATATTTCGCTGAAAATGAGTCATTGTGAGAATATTTTAAAATTCCCAATTATCCAGATACTGAAATTCGTATTACCCGGCCGATAAAATGTTTGTGGAATTAAATGGCATTTCTACATTTCTGTGGATCGGGAAAAGGGCAATCGAATCTACCGTTCTGTTTGCGCACGGGATCATTAACCCCCGTTATCCTGCTCTGATTATCAGCTTTACTGTGTACTTTCAAAATAATCGTTTTTTATTTTTCAAAAACGGGAAGATACAACACGTACCAAACCACATTTCCAATTACAAAACATCTCCATTGAGGAAACAGCACGATGACAACGGCTTCTAGAAGGTCGTAATCGTTCTTGGAATTCTAGTCTCCGTTAAGAATTTACATTTTCCGAGGCGAAATCGATTTAGTCTTCGGAAGTTTTTGAGTCCACCGGTTCGATAGTTACAGAGTAAAGCTCTATATGGAATTATGGATCACTTGTCCGGAGGGAAAATTAAAGACTGACGCACCTCCCTACACTTTAGCGAGTGAGTGAGTGAGTATGGCTTTACGCCGTTTTTAGCAATATTCCAGCAATATCACGGCGCGGGACACCAGAAATGGGCTTCACACATTGTACCCATGTCGGGAATCGAACCCGGGTCTTCAGCGTGACGAGCGAACGCTTTAACCATTAGGCTACCCGACCGCCCCGAACAATACTTTAATAAGAGGACCTTAATATTTCTTGTCAAGAATTTTGTACCATGAATGTAATTGTGCATCCCTCGGGATGGAATATATTTTTTTCTGCATCCATTCTTTTCATGTGTGCGTACTGGACGCACATGTTTGCGTGGTGTCAAACCCTGCAGTATACGATAGCATCCACATTAAACCCATGCGTGACGAGCAAACGCTTTAACCACTAGGCTACCCGACCGCCCCCTACACTTAAGCGAAAACCTGACGGTAGTCAGCTGTGATTTGACAGCATTATATTCTAAAGACTTTGATAAAGAATGTTGGTTTGTTGGTTTGTTGTTTCACGCCGCACTCAGCAGTATTTCAGCTATATGGCGGCGGTCTGTAAGTCTAAGTCAATTGCGTGGATCGATGATCATGATGTCAATCACTGGATTGTCTGGTCCAGACTCGATTTTTTACAGACCGCCGTCATATAGCTGGAATATTGCTGAGTGCGGCGTTAAACAATAAATAAACAAATAACACAATACATCGGCCAAGGGTATCTGTTTGTGTCAGCCAATCGGTTTCGAGTATTCTCCCAATGTGGTAAGTTTGACGTATCAAACTGAAATTCTGACACCGTCAACTTGAAAAGAAAATCGATATCCATATTGAAATAATTATTGTTTTGAGTGCATGGGATGCAGAAAAAACATAAATGCATCCCGAGGGATGCACAATGACATTCATGGTACAAAATTCTTGACAAGAAATAGTAAGGTCCTCTTATTAAAGTATTGTTCGGGGCGGTCGGGTAGCCTAATGGTTAAAGCGTTCGTTCGTCACGCTGAAGACCCGGGTTCGATTCCCGACATGGGTACAATGTGTGAAGCCCATTTCTGATGTCCCTCTCCGTGATATTGCTGGAATATTGCTAAAAGCGGCGTAAAACCATACTCACTCACTCACTAAAGTATTTATCAAGTCTTACAGTACAGTACACTACACCATTTCACAACTTTACGGTAAGAACCCTTGAAATTAGTAATTGGGGTCCCCTTGACCCCTAGTTAAGTAGGTCAAGGTAAGATCCTGTTGGTGCATTTCAGGATAAGTTTCCATGCAATTGCTTGATACTGTTTTGGTCAAAATAATGTCACAGTCATCGATGTCCACGTGGTGGCCGTGATTGTACGTGGTAGCTGAAAAAGGTGTGAATACCGCAATAATCCCCAAACTTTACCAAGTAGTGTTTCAATGAATTCACCTGAAAATTTACCGCAGTGACATATCCTGTCACATTGTCAGATGAAAAAACTAAATGAAGGCTGGTTAATGTAATCAATAAAATCAATTTGTGATATTGTGGGGTGAGGTGAAATGGAGTTTAACGTTGCGTCCAAGATTATTGCACTTGTATAGCGTCGTCTGTGTGTGTGTGTGCGTGCGTGCGTGCGTGCGTGCGTGCGTGCGTGCGTTCGTGCATGCGTGTGTGTGCTTGTACTATTCCGGACTAATGCCGATTTTGTAGTGCAAGCCCCCTGAGGTACCATGCCGCAGTCCGACCAGTCCTTGTTTTAGCCCCTTAATACCGAGCGCCAGGCAGGGTAACAACAAGAACCATCTTTTAACGTCTTGGAGACTAGAACTCTGCCAGGTCACACTTTAACCAACCAGTCCTCATTTAAAACCTATTTATCATCACACGTATCTCCACAATAGTGGGTATATGCATAAACATTGCATCGCTCTGGGGATCTTAGCTGGTGACGACGAGTGGCCATTTTGTCAGCAAACAATGTTCGAGGCCACACGATTGACATTTCGCTCACTTCTGCTCGTGAAAATAGTGGTTTGATGCGTGTGAATGTCCAAAATATAATACATTTAACATTGGGGTCGTACGTCACGGATTCATATTCTCTAACGACACAACCAGTGCAGCGTGTTGATTCAGCGATATTAGCATCTATCAGAAATATTAGCGTCGAACTGTATCACAAGACCGCCTCCGTGGTCTAGTGGTAGAAAGCCCGTCGGGAGAGCGGAAGGTCGGGGGTTCGATCCCCCGCTGCGTCATACCCAAATACGTTAAAAGATGGCACTTTTGAAGGGGCTGAAACAAGGACTGGTCGGCTGGGAGTCAGTATACTGTGTCTGAGTGGGGTGTTTATAGTGTTTGGAATATTGTGACTGTATGGGAACAAGATTCATTCACTCATTCATTAAACTGTCTAGCTTTCATTACTTTTAGCTCTGACTAAGTGGATCTATTTTTGTGCAGGGGACGCAACGCGTGTGGAGCTGGACCTGACCCTCAAATCACTGGGACCAGTTAACGACATCGAGATGGTGAATACAACACTAGATGCGAGATGAGATTATGTGTGTGTGTGCGCCTGCTTGCGGATGTGTCTCTGTGTGAGAGAGATTGTATGAATGAGAGACTTTGTATGTGTGAGATAGATTTGTGCGTGTGTGAGAGCGAGAGATTATTTGTGTGCGTATGAGAGAGATTGTGTGCCTTCGCCTGATTGAGGGTGTGTATTTGTGTGAGACAGATTGTGTGCCTTCGCCTGATTGAGGGTGTGTATTTGTGTGAGACAGATTGTGTGCCTTCGCCTGATTGAGGGTGTGTATTTGTGTGAGACAGATTGTGAGTGCGAGATAGATTGCGAGAGCGAGAGATTGTGTGTGTGGTGGTTGGGGGGGGGGGGGGGGGGGGGGGGAGAGAAAAAAGAGAGATTATATGTGTGCGTATGAGAGAGATTGTGTGCCTGCGCCTGATTGAGGGTGTGTGTGTGTGTGAGAGAGATTGTGTGTGCATGTGCACCTGCTTGCGGGTGTGTCTCCGTGTGAGAGGGATTGTGTGAGTGAGAGAGTTTGTATGTGTGCATGTGCGTGCGTGCGTGCGTGTATAAAGATACCAAACATTACGTCCAGGAAAAGGAATTGCCACGGTTAGGAACCCTACACAGAAAATCAATGAAGTACATTGCAATACAGTGTTTCTTCTGCCGATATGTAGGTTATAGGATGGTAGTATACCTCTACAGTTCACAGTTGTATGGTTGTATGGTCAATAAGCTATCCATGTGAAATATATGTTATTCGAGTTCAGTCATTCATAATGTATTGCTACTGAACATAGACCGTTACTCTGTTCTCAAAGACTCTTTTGATTGCAACTGAGACGAATCAATGGAATGAGATTTGAGCAATCTCATTCAAATTAGATCTTCGTTCTCGCTACCGCTAAACAAAGATCTTGGAGTGGGGACATCCCATTACGGGTCACGCCAGAACGACATTCATCCGACCATTCTGAGCGTAGCTTACCAGAACAGGAAAGTCCGAATGTGTCTTCTAATAATGCAACCTTGGAAAGGTTAACACGGGGTATTCCGAACGATAATTACGGTCTGCACGACCGATTCAGTCAAAATCATCGTCTATCTCCAGCTTCAATAGGAAAAACATTTGCACCGAAGAGACTTTGCATAGCCAGGGGGAAGTACTGCCATACAATCTCAGCCATCTATTAGACATTTCAGAATGTTTTTTGTTCAGTTTTCAATTTTTGTATATTTTCAAAGCGTAGTCTGGAATTGAAGTCGACAGGTTGAAAGAAGTGCCGTATAGCTGGAGACTGCTTCTGATTGGCTAATGTGGACTTCTTGTTGGCTATTTCATTGTTTGGTAAAATTTCGCGAAAGGTCGTTCTGATGTGACCTGCAATGGGATGTTCTTAGATCTTGTTTAGCGGTAGCGAAAACTAAGATCTGATTTAAATAAGCTAGATATTTGTGTGGTGACAATGTTATGAAGAAGTGCCATTGTCCTATGCATATACTCGTAGTAAAAGGTATCCCGTTTGTCCTGAAACCCGTCCTTCAGACCGATTACGGTTGGGACGTCAAAATATTATACATTCCCACTATGATCCGTAGCCACTACTCGCTTGTTCAAACATTTGTTAATTCGGAAGGTTTCATTTGTAACGTCGGTGTAACTGGGAGCACCGTCCAAAAAATGGTTATAACTGCACAATCTTCTCGTGAACGATTAAAGATGTGCACTGTAGTCTGCATAAAACAAGCTTTGTTTACAGTTATTCTTTGTATATGCTTATTTTAACAGAATATTGATTATGTTGATTGAGCCGTGTGTCTTGGACCATACACTGTGAAATATTTTCATTTCGGTTTCCCGTTGTTGCAGGAATTCAGCGCCAGTTTTTTCCTCCGACAGTCTTGGCGTGACCATCGCTTGGCTTACGACGACTTGAACACCAGCGTTGTCATCAGCGAAAAACGCCTGGACTCGCTGTGGGTGCCTGACCTGTACTTCCCCCAGTCCAAACGGGAGAGCAGACATGACATTACTATTCCCAATGTCATGATTCGTCTGTCTCCCGACGGATCCATCTTGTACTCGCAGAGGTACGTTACCAAGATGCCTGGCTAATGATCACTTTACTGCCATGTGGTTTAATTTTTCCCGCTGTGGGCATACGGAGGTCGAGGTTGCAGGGAAGGCGGCAAGCAGCATATCTTCCTGAAAGTCGTGTCATTCCGATATTTGCATGTGTTGTTTTCTATAAATGTAAACCTGGCGTGTTCTTATTGTTACAATATGCATATTGTCTGCGTGCTCGAGTGGCCCAGTTGTGCAAGTTGCGTCACTCCCATCGTCGTAACAGGATCTGTCAACAACTTGTCAACAAAGATAGGCGGCGGAAAATCACTTTTATACGAAGGTGTACCAGTCGTGGATGTTGATTTTGTGAAACGTTCTCTGATTGGACTATCGGTATGTGTGATAGTCCAATCATATTTAGCACAGGAAAGTGGGCTTGATGTGGCAAGGGTGGAAACAAGACTTTGTTTAAAGGGCTAGTGGACTATCTTGCCTCGGGAAGATGTGTAAGCGCCTGTTGGCATTCGAAGTTCCCAGTTTGTCATGCTTGCCTTAAGAGCTGATTAAATTAGGGACACGTGAAGGCAATGGACGGGGCTACCAAGGACTTGACTGTCTGGTCTAGGCCTATTTACAGCCGTCGTTTGATTGCTCGAATAATACTGAATGCGGCGTAAAACAACAAACAAAGGCATGTGGCTTCGGGCGATAGTAATGGTCATGTGTTGTTCATTGGAATTCACAATTGAGTTAATAGTCATGTAACTTTGAACTCAATACATATATATCAATGATCAACACTGCCATTACCATCGCCCGACTAACGGGATCGGGTGGTCAGACTCGCTGACTTGGTTGATGCATGTCAACGTGTCCCATTTGAGTGGATCGATCGATGATCATGATATCAATCATATAGCTGGAATATTGCTGAGTGTGGCGTTAAACAACAAACATGTAACTTTGAGTTGGGTTATAATTAGTTCTTGACAAACCATCAGGGTCTTTTATTGTTTAATTGGCATTTCTTAGAAGTTGGCGGATTTCAAAGTAGAGTCTTGATTGACAACGGTAAAAGGATCATATAACAGTTTTATAAAGAAGTTGCTGTTCATATTATTTTGTGTTCTTCGTCACCAGGGTCTTGCAAACAACATGTTTCAACGTAGCTCTAACATCTTGAGTTCAACTTTTCAGATTGTCGGTAACCTTTGATTGTCACATGGACCTTGTCAAGTTTCCCATGGACAAACAGACGTGTCAGATTGACATGGAAAGTTGTAAGTAGGATATTCACAAGAATAGAAAACGTTTGACTCCCACACTGATCGTATCTGCAAGGCACAATGCCACTATAAATATAGCACTAGAAATTGAAAACTCTTCTAAATTGCGCTCGTACGTGTATTGATATTTTGGGCCTGGGACACGTCCTATGTTTTTCGTGGATTTATGTTATTAAAAGTCAACAAATGATAAACATTTATTGTTTCCATACACTTTCTATGGAAGAAGTTCTTAAAATAAGTAGCGCGATACAATTATACATATATATTATATAACTCACTGCTCGTGTTAAAAGGACTTCAGGCACCATACGTTTTGTTTGTTTATTTGTTGTTAAACGCCGCACTCAGCAATATTCCAGCTATATGACGGCGGTCTTTAAATAATCGAGTCTGGACTAGACAATCCAGTGATTGACATCATGATCATCGATCCACGCATTTGGGATGCGATGACATGTATCAACCAAGTCAGCGAGCCTGACCATCCGATCCCGTTAGTCGCCTCTTACACCAAGCATAGTCGCCTTTTACGGCAAGCATGGGTTCTGAAGACCTATTCTACCCCGGATCTTCAGGGGGGTCAATGTGTGAATGAGAGAGTCGGGACTAGTACAAACAGCCACACACACACACGACGCTGTATTTATAACTGCAACGATCTTGAACGGTGTTGAACAACATTTCACTTCACATGTACGTGTAGTATATACTCTACGGGACCGTGTTTTCTATTTACAGATAGTTTCACAACCGACGATCTCTACTTTGCTTTCTCCTCTGAAAGGCCCCCTGTAGAGAAGGGCAAAGGGGCAGATATCCCCGACTTCACCATCACGGGGATTACTCACGAAGACTGCTCCGTCACATACGCTACAGGTAAACAGTGTTAAACGTCGTACGACAAATTCAAGACGGGTAAGAGCTTAGTCGTGTAAAGCGCCGCAGAGTTGTGTTCCGTATTCGTGCCAGGATACGCTGATTTTGGTTTCAATCCTATACTGGAACTGGTTATGATTCTTGGATTCTCAGCACCATCCGGGGCTCGAGAATGTTCCAGACCTGCATCACCTAGGGCTAACTCCCAAATTCGGGGGCGGGGGTGGCTGGCGCCTAAGGCGCCGAAATTCGATGAGCAGAGTTGCGTCCCTCTGGCACGCAAGAAACCTATGGTCGTGGGTTTGTTAGAACCATACCCGTGCTCATGTGGTAAACGTGCATCAATTGATTTGTGTTCGCATGTGTTTGCGACGGGTGCCACCAGTGTGGCCTGATACGTTCATCTTTTCGCGATCACCTTGTGAAAGACTTGCACCTCTTCGGGCTCTCGTGACATATCAAGCTGACACATCGCGAATACTGTTCAAAGTGGCGTTCAACCTAACTCACTCACTCACCCACACCTCGCTGGTGCGCTGTTATATAACTGAAGTATTGGTCAAAGTAGCGTTGAAGAAACAAACGTTCGGAACCACCAAGTATGGTTAAAAAGGCCAGTTCAGACTTGGGGAAAGACATGACCTTTTCCTCACTTTTGTGCCGGAGGGCCGAGTATTTCACAGTGCGAATTTGTGCGGGAGTTAAAAGCATTTCGTGTTCGTATCCGTTTGAATCCTCATAATACAAGAAGTGCTTAGTATGTGCGACATCGAAAATTAAGGCTGTCGTAACATGTGACGCTGGAAAGCTGTCATACACGATTAAACTTGAATCCATTTATAAAATATGACATAAGATCTACAATATACCAGATAGATTGATATATACCTGGCCCGTGAAGATCCGGGTTGGAATAGGTCTTCAGCAACCCATACTTGCCGTAAAAGGCGACTATACTTGTCGTAAGAGGCGACTAACGGGATCGGGTGGTCAGACTCACTGACTTGGTTGATGCATGTCATCGTATCCCAATTGCATAGATCGATGTTCATGATATCAATCATTGGATTGTCTGGTCCAAACTCGGTTATTTACAGACCGCCGTCATATATCTGGAATAGAGCTGAGTGCGGCGTAAAACAACAAACAAAAACAAACAAAAGATACACACCTGTTTTTCTTAACCTTCAGGGACATTCACATGCTTAAGAGCAATTCTCCACCTCAAACGAGAAATCGGCTTCTACGCTACACAGACCTACATCCCCAGCATCCTCATCGTCGTGTTGTCCTGGGCCTCGTTCTGGATCGACCACGAGGCAGTTCCCGCCAGAATCTCCGTGGGGCTCCTAACAGTCCTAACCATCACCACCCAGAGCTCAGGTGCGCGCGCACAACTTCCCAGGGTTCCTTACGTGAAGGCCATCGACGTGTGGATGTCGGCGTGCCTCGTGTTTGTGTTTGCCGCCTACATGGAGTATGCTGTCGTTTCTGTTCTGTCCCGGCGACACAAGAAGGGGGACAGATACAGCTCCAAAGTAAATACTTTAATACTTGATTAATTCGTTTAATTTTATCAGAAATATTTACGCTGAATGAAGTGGGTGCATTGGAACTTGGCCCTGCAGTCTGAAACGATGCCCATGTAATTGTGTCGCTTTGCTGTGGCAGGATCCGCTAGTCGCTACCGCTAGACAAAGATCGGAGGACATCACCTTACAGGTCACGTCAGAACGACCTTTATTTTTGTTAAAAACAAAACAATCCGTAAACGACCATAATCTGTGTTTAAACTTCTGAAATATTCCACATTTTGTATATAGGGAGGTGTAACAAAGTTGTTTTCACATCAACAAAATGCTAATTGCACGGCCATCGCCGACAAAGTCACAGCACCGTGCAATCTCTTGGAAACCAAAGGTGCACGAAAATGATCGCTGAAAACCGGAATTCGAACCAACAGTCATAGGTTTCTGCTGTGGCTAAGGGACGCAACTCTGTACAGCGGCCGAGCCAATCGTGCTCTCTTTGGAACATGGACTAATCCCTTGTGCAATTCAATTCAGCAAGACTTGACATGACTGAAATTTGTACTGGTGGGGATTTTCACGGAGTTTGGCAATCCTTCCAATTACTATTTTGCGAATTGATTTGAACCCCCGGAAAGACATCCAAATGGTTCATTATCTCGTTCTGCGCAATGTTGCATACATTTCACCATCATCCAGAGTTAATTTGAAATTACTGTCCCAATTACCATGTTATGTTTAAAACACACATCACTGCGTTTCATTTTTATGATTAGTTTGTTTGTTATTGCACTCAACTATTTCATGGCGGTCTGTAAATAATCGAGTCTAGACCATCATTAGCATCGATCAGCGCAATTGGGATACGATGACATGCATCAACCAAATCACCGAGTCTGACCCCCCGATCCCGTTAGTCGCCTCTTAGGACAAGTATAGTCGCCTATTAGGACAAGTATAGTCGCCTCTTAGGACAAGTATAGTCGCCTATTACGACACCCGGATCTTCAAAGGTCTATTGTTCCGACATATATTTCATCACATTATTATTACGGCACAACAACATGGTTTTATTTTTATCTATCCAGGATTCTAGCAACACAAGTTTCACAGACACTGACCCCTCGAAACCGTCATCCCTCGATGGCAGCAATGGTGCGCACAGCAGAAAAGTGCCCAAAGATGCTGGAGTGAGGGTGGACTCTATTTCACGATACGGATTCCCTCTGTCCTTCCTCATATTTAACATCGTGTACTGGGTGTTCTATATCCATGTTGACTGATTGCGCGATGCACTCTGGGTGTTCAAACACCCCGGGCAAAAGAAAGTATACACCCATGTTTGATGGTGGCTAAAAATGAAACAAAAACAAAATGGTTATTCAATCTTGATATGTTTTGGACCGTAGGTTCGCAGTGTTTCGACGACCTTTTTCAACCTAGTAACTTTTTGAGAACGTTTGTAATTTTTTGGGTCAAATCCCTTTTCAAGTGTATACTTTCTTTTGCACAGCAGTGTATCTGTAATGCATGTTCATGAACATGTTAAGGCTTTTCTTTAAATACTTCTCTTCTTTGGTCATATTTGTTATATTTACATGTAAATAAACACTATGAAAACACAATGTCGCTTCTTATCAATGTTAAAGAAATAAGTAGTCCTACAGCATGCATCTGTTTCTTCTAGACCTTTCTGTTTGTATCATGATTCAAGTCCAGATTTCCGAGCAGAAATACCCAGAATAGTTGGACCGATCGCGACCTGCACATAGCGATCTTAGCGCTACGTCTATCGACTCCAATTCCGTCAAAGTATGGGAGCTGGAATCGTCGTAGCACTGTGCCAGGGACACTCAACACAATTACCCTAGATTTAAAATAATAGATAATGCCATTAACAGCTACTTTTAGAAATTATGAAGGAACATATATTAAGATAAGATTAATGAAAAACATATTCTTAGTCTCGTGACTTATTTTCAAAACTTGACTGGGTAGGGCGGGGGGAGTAAGAGAGAGAGAGGGGGGATAGATTGTGTGAGAGAGAGAGGGGGGGATAGACTGAGAGGGGGGGCGGATAGATTGTGAGAAAGAGTGGGGGATAGATTGTGTGAGAGAGAGAGTGGGGGATAGATTGTGAGAGAGTATGTGTGCATGTGCGTGCGTGCATCTGTGTTTTCCAGCTGTAGCTGACAAAAACTGTCTTGTCGCCATTTAAAATACTTAAGATGGCATAGTGGTGATAGAGAGAGAGAGCTTTGTGCGTGTATGAGAGAGCTAGAGAGTATGCGTGCGTGTGAGAGAGTGGGTTTGTGTAGAGAGAAATATTCTAGTTGATGAGATGATGTTTGGTTGATAGGATGAAGGAACCTTGATCTACATTGAAGTTAACTGTACAAAACTTTAAACAAACGTAAGTCAATATGGGAAGGTTATAAGCCTTGATCTTGACTAAAAAATACGTTTTTCATGTATTCCAATTTTATTCATTTCACCGACAACACTTTTGAGTCCAATTTGAAACTAAAATGATATAACAACGTAACCAACCATGTCTGAAAGGAATTAATCATATCCATTGCACAATTTCCCGAGGATAAAACAACATATTGAGTAGTGGTGACGAGCTGAAAAATCTTTATAACTGATCGGCGTTTATTCCGCAAAATCTCCCTGCGTGGCCATACGATCTGGATTATGGATTTTATTTTTGTAATTAAACCAACCGTTGGTTTAATGAAACAACGGCGTTGTTTTTATGACGACTTCATATTATTTCTTTAGCTAAGGTGGGCGGTCGGTAGTCCAATGGGTAAAGTGTTCGCGCGTCAAGCCAAAGTTTCGGGTTCTGTGGCTACTGTGTGTGAAGCGCAGTTCTGGTTTCCCCACAGGGATATCAGTGATGATCCGGGTTAGAATTGGTCCTCAGCAACCAATGTTTGCCGAAAGAGGCGACTATACTAGTAAGGGGATCGGCTGGTCAGGCTCACTGGTTTGGTTAATGCATGTCATCGTATCCCAATTGCCTAGATCGATCCACATGATGTCAATCACTGGATTGTCTGGTTCAGACTCAGTTATTTACAGACCACCGTCAAAGTTGGAATATTGCGGAGTGAGGCGTTAAACAACAAACACTTTCGCACGCTTTAGCTGAGGTAACTGAGTTGGACAGTTGTTTTTTGCCATAAATTGTTCTCGTCTCTGTACGGCTGAAACATTTCTGCGCGAAGTATGATTTTAACTCATTAATTTTCAGGGGGCACGGGTGGCCCAGTCGCTGTGCAGAGTTGCGTCCCTTGGGCACGCCAGAAAACTATGATTTTGGGTTCGAATCCCGATTCGCCCCGATAATGTTTCTAGGTTTGTCAGCACCATACCCGTGCTCGTGGGTTTTCACCGAAGTGGTAAACGTCTAAGACCTGCATCACTTGGGGCTGTCCTCCCACATTAAGCTGACACGCCGTGATATAACTGGAATAATGTTAAAAGCGGCGTTTAACCCAACTCACTCACTCACTCACTCATTAATTTTCAGCATACCTATGACAGAAATATCCCAGAAAGTAAACAAAGCCAAACAGTGTTTTCTTTTGTTAGCGAAACATGGGTCTGACGAACGAGATTTCGATTTGTTCCGATTTTCGTGTATATATGCCAGGCCATGGGTCAGAAGAAATCAGAATATATATCCCGTAAAACAAATCAGGTAAACAAGTAATTATCATATAATCTAGAAATACCAGTGTTCATTTGTAAGAATAACACATTACTCATAAACAAACCTACTAGAAGCGAACGTAAAATATTTGGATTTGGATTTGTACTCGCCTGACCTTTTATAACTGCACTTGGTGACAGTATTGGGCTTTTAATGCTATACTTTGACTCGGCAAGCATTGCGACGGAAAGATCATTATCAAAAACCGATCAATAAATAGTTCGAAGAAGGCTTTTAAATACTTTAATAAGCTATCAGAGCATAACGACGATTTCTTTGTTGTTTAACGCCGCACTCAGCAATATTCCAGCTATATAACGGCTGTCTGTAAATAATCGAGTTTGGACCAGACAGTCCAATGATTGATATTGTGAGCATCGATCTACGCAATTGGGATACGATGACATGCATCAACCAAGTCGGCGAGCCTGACCATCTCCCCGAGGCAAGGGCGTTAACGGACTATAAAAGGCCATTTTTTACATCCTTGCCGAACTCGGCTGGAATTCCGGAGTTACATTTTGACGAGTTTAACAAGTCTCTGTATAGTCCAATCAAAATCGCGTAACGAACTCGACATCTAGTTCGTAATCAACGTGGGCTTCAATGTGCAGATTTCGGTCGACTGAAGTGTACCGCCAACTGGGCGTCAACAGATATTTTGCAAATCTTTTCATGTTTTTAATCAAGGTGCTCCAGTGATTTGATGCACTAGCGAGGTAAGGCCAGTTTTATTGCAAAGTAGATCTTGATTATCTATGATCTTAACTGGGCACTGCCATTTTGTTTGAAGCAATTGTAAGTGATATGAGAGGTGGAATCTGATTGGTCAATAGGAGGGACATAGAAGGGACATATCTCGCACTAGCCACTGGTGGCTTTACGATCGAGCCTGGAATTTCCAGCCTAGTTCGGCTTTTAAATTCATTAACTACGTTCCCTCAGGAAGATATACACAATCACTCACAAAAATTATGTTAATGTTTAAACGCAAATTATTCAAATGTCATTCTTGGTTTTAAAACATGAGCAAATCCATTATATGCAAAAAGGCGCAGCAATTAGGACATAAAAATGCCCAATGCCAGCCCAAACCACTTTTTTATAATTGCAATCAAAACACTTAGTTACTTCTGAAAGAAAATATTGGTTGGTTTAGATATATAATGTGTGTGGAAACTCCCGTTCAATCTTTATCTGCAGTATTTGGGATCCCTTGTCACCGCCGCCATTGCAATTTTAAAAGATCCACGAGTGTATGGTATAATTAATTTCTAGCTCAGCTTTGTTACCAGACTAGTCGATGAACAGAGTTGCGCCCCTTAGGCGTGCCAGTATCCTATGTCTAGGGTTCGGATCCCAGATCCAAACTGAATATGATTTAAGGTTTGCCAGCAACCTATCGCTGCTTTTACGTTTCATTAAGTTGGTAAACGTCTAAGATCTGCATCTCTTCGGTCTTTCATCCTCCATCAAACGGACACGCGGTGATCTAACCGAAATACTGTTAAAACTGCGTTAAACCAGCCCCACTCACTCAACTGTGTTCATGGAGCAAATATACGATGATGAATATGTAGCGAATATACGATCATGAATATGTAGTGAATATACGATCATGAATATGTAGTGAATATACGATCATGAACATGTATTGAATATACGATCATGAATATGTAGTGAATGTACGATCATGAATATGTAGTGAATATACGATCATGAATATGTAGCGAATATACGATGATGAATATGAAGTGAATATACGATCATGAATATGTAGTGAATTTACGATGATGAATATGTAGCAAATATACGACGATGAATATGTAGTGAATATACGATGATGAATATGTAGCAAATATACGATGATGAATATGTAGTGAATATACGATGATGAATATGTAGTGAATATACGATGATGAATATGTAGCAAATATACGATGATGAATAAGTAGTGAATATACGATGATGAATATGTAGCGAATATACGATGATGAATATGTAGTGAATATACGATGATGAATATGTAGCAAATATACGATGATGAATATGTAGCAAATATACGATGATGAATATGTAGTGAATATACGATGATGAATATGTAGCAAATATACGATGATGAATATGTAGTGAATATACGATGATGAATATGTAGTGAATATACGATGATGAATATGTAGTGAATATACGATGATGAATTTGTAGTGAATATACGATGATGAATATAAAGCATTGACAGATCAATGCAATCAAGAAATAAAATAAATCAAAATTATTTACGTGATGCCTTCCGCTCAGGATATCCTCCGTTTTCATTATATCGTAAATGGTAAACGTATTCCGCGAAGATAATGGCTTGTGTCACTCGTAAGATTAAGAGATGTTAATTACAGACTCTATGAATCCCTTGGTTCTGTTTCCAATTGTCCTTAATCAAAAACTGCTTTTAATTTCCGTTGCACCAAGCGAATTATCTCGGCCTTGTAAATAGTCCGTCATGGTATTCCAGGGTAAGTAACCAGGTTGTCATGCCAGGCTCCAATCGATGCCACAGACACGGTGTGTTTGTTCTGCCTTTACACGTGAAGTGCTGCGAGCCATTAAGGTATAAATGCTCAGCGGAATAGACATATTCTTGTGGCAAAAAAAACCAGGATAATATCGATTGCATTTTTGATTGAGTTAGAGACCCATGACCAGTTCTTATCGTTAGCTCTATTATGTCTTTATACATTCTAATTTGCTGTGGGTGTTTGGGTATGTGCGCATGCGCATCTTGTTGTCCCATGGCGTTGTTAGAGATCATGTTAATAGATTTATTTGGTTGCATTCTCAAGGTGATCGACTGGGTAAGCGAGCTGAAGACCCTTGCTAAATGTAAACGTCTGTTGGACTGTATTGTGT